AGTATATCTACTCCTGAAACACATCAAAACGAAACGACCAAGTACGGAGTTGGACTTCAAGAAATTGGGACCATTCAAAATATTGAACAAAGTCAGCTCAGTTAATTACAGACTGCAGCTACCCAAGAAGTCTAGACTACATCCGGTATTTCATGTCTCACTATTGGAACCAGCAAGAGGAAACACCCCGATTGCGACCGATACAGAACTCCAACCAGAAAATGAGATCATTAAATATGAAGTCGAAGCGATCCTAGACAGATGGTTAGTAGGACGCAAAGAAGAGTTTTTGATCAAATGGAAAGGTTATGAACCTACAGACAATTCATGGGAAACGGTAGGAAACCTTAGCTGTCCAGAGCTGCTGGAGGCATTTCACCGTTGACACCCCAACATTCAAAGAAGCCAGGAGACAGGACTGCGAAGAAGTCTTGGTCAGGGGCTACGCCCTCAGAGACAGTAGTGGGAGGGGTGTGCAAGAGTCCCTTTGGCCTCTGCCTCCCTACGCTCCTTTTTCTCCGCTTCATCTAGCTCATCCATGGTTTTTAGACCACGACGAAGCATGCCCTTAGCACGGGAACGAAACAAGCGCTGTTGTTGACGAAGTTGAAGGATCTTGGCCATCGCTGCCTTACCTAACTAAATATCTAATGCGCAGGCGGCACAACTCATAAAGTCGATCAACAAACACAAAGATCTTAGCTTTGATCTGCGGAGCGGCCCTGGGAAAGTCCCCGGGAATCGATGGACTACACTCAGAGTTCTACAAAGCTCTACTCCTACGCACCAACGATACCGAGCCTCTTATCCTAACTCACCTACATGGACTCTTTAACACCATTCTCAACGATGGCGGAATCACTAAGCACTGGACCGATGGAGTTCTCACCCTTCTATATAAAGACAAAGGCGACGTAGCAGACCTCAAGAACTACCGCCCTCTGTCAATCATGAATGCCAACTACAAAATATTCACTGAAATCCTCATGAAACGCCTTATCAAAGCCCTTGGCTCTGCCCTCGGACCACACCAAACCGCCTTCCTTCCTGGCCGACTCATCGACGACAATATAAGAACCATACAATACCTCATCGGCAAGCACCACCGACTAGGAGAAACTGGGATCGCCATCCTATTCCTCGACCAGGAGAAAGCCTACGATAGAGTGAGCCACATATTCCTATGGGCATCTCTAGACAGACTTGGAGTACCAACCTGCTTCGTCAACTGGATCAAAACTCTCTACAAAGATGCCACAGTGCGAGTCTTCATCAACGGCCACTTCAGCCCTGAAATAAGAATCAGCTGTGGGGTCCGACAAGGCAACCCCATAAGCTGCCCTCTTTTCATTGCAGTAATTGAGAGTTTAGCTCAACTCCTCGCTCAAGACCCATTACTGCAAGGGGTGTACGCCGGCACACAAAAAATCGTCTGCTCCATGTACGCAGACGATACTGCAATTATCATCCGATCCCAAGAAGCCGACCATGTAAGCCAAATCCTAGAGGACTACGCCTACGCTTCAGGATCCCGTATCAACTGGGGGAAATCATACCTACTCCTAGTAGGGGACTCCCCTGAGATCAATATTCCACTCGTCCAACGAATCAGCCCAGACAATCCCTATGTCCACCTAGGGGTCCCAGTCGGCACTGATATCGAGGACCAAGTACGAAACCACTGGGATACCATCCTACAAAAATTCAAGAAGGTCTCAAACCGATGGCTAAAGTTACCTGTCGATCAAAGGCAGAGTACTCATCGCCAATTCCCTCATGATGTCCCTCCCAAGATATTTATTCTGCTTCCTTGACGTCCCACTACAATTCAAGAAAGAACTCGACGCAGAGTATTACCGACTAGTATGGGACGATCAAAGGCACAAAACCATCCTCAATCTACAAACATGCTGCCCGCTCTCTCAAGGCGGCATTGGTTGTATTGATATGGAAAGCGTTCTAAACGCTACAGTCCTCTCCACAGTAGCCCGAGCAATGAAACATCCTGAACTACCATGGGCACAACTCGCCCGAGAAATCAAAATCAACAGCCCTCAACCAATTCCCTAATTCCAAGCGCTATAAACCAGCCTTGGATACAATGGATATCCGCTGTTCACAAAGTCCCCCCAGAACTCAATGCTGTCTGGATACGGTGGCGCAAACTATACCATAAGAACATCACTGATGGAGTTATCACAATTGCCCCCCCTAAGTCGAACCTCGAGCTCCTCCGAACCCCCATATGGTATCACCTACTATTAGGAAACCACTCTGGGGCAGGAGCGAGACGATGGGTAGCGGCATCTGGAAAACACTTACGGAATCAGGGGCCTCCATGTTCGGCGACATCTGGGATCCAGATATCAACCAGCCGATCACTCCACCCTCCCTTACACCACAGAAGTCATCAGAAGCCCGCCGTGCAATAGAACGCCTCATTGCAGAAATTTCTCAAGCATGGAAAGCTGTCCTTCACACCACCGCCTTCTTAACCTACGATCCTTCAGACCCACCGCATAATGAATACTTCGTACAATATGAGAAAACACTCATCCCCCTCTACAACCTAAAGTTTACCACAGCGTACAAAGTACTACGAATAAGAAGGCTCCAGAAAGTCAACTTCTCAGAGGCTGCTACGAATGTCCTCACGGCATACCGAGCACGCACAGGAATATCATATTCTGCCGCCACCCTCTGGAAATCCGTCCGCAACAGCCACAGCTATAATAAAGCCGGCGACCTCCTCTGGCGCCTCCTATATAACAAAGTCCAAACCGGAAAATCTCTGGAATGGATCCCTGAATCACTTCAACTGTGCCCCATCCACCACTGCGATTTCACAACCGATCATATCTGGATTTCCTGCACTGTGGCACAAGCCGTTTGGGCTATCGTGGCAACAATATGGCAGCAGGTCTCTGACCTCCCTGCCCTAATCCCTCGATCAATGAATGAACTCAAGGCCCTCATGGCCTTTGGGCCATCTCACGATCGCATCGCACCGCGCCAATGGCAATCCATCGGCCGCACAGCAATTTGGAGCTTGTGGAAAGCATACCTCTCACACTCCTTCGAAAACCCAATTTACCTCTGGACAGAAGAAAGCGCCTGCAAAGCCTACCATGCAATGATGCTCCAGCGCATCCTTTCGGAAAGGGTGCTAAGCACCAAAGAAATATACCGAAACGCTGTCTACAACGAGACCAGCTTTACAAAAGTCTGGAATGAGAACCCGCGAGATATCCGCATCCTTAAGGGACTGCAATGCCTCCACAATCTCCCTTCACATTTACACTACGACCTAAGTCAACTACAGACTACGAATACCCTCACAACGGACCCCATTGCCCCAACTCAAACGCCTGAAGAGGGACAGTGGGACACTCCACCGATATCACCAAATGCTACACTCCACATATGATTGAATTATAAAGGGCGACGACGGGCCTCTCTTTACCCATACAAATGAGAACCCCCAACCCCGAAATACCAAACAGAAGAGTGATGGAACAACGGTTCGACTCCGTTACGAAGCTCCCGGTGGCAACATACCTCTCCTACCTATCCTAACGGATAGGAGACCAAAAACAACACCAATGCTTCTTCTAGTGCATAGGATAGGTCAGCCCATCTCTCTCCCATTGCGGCCCTCAACTCCTCTCTATCTTGCGTCCAGTTTCGGCATTCAAAGAGGAAGTGTTGTGCTGTCTCTACTGCCATTCCACATGAGCATGTTCCAGAGTCCCTTACTCTAATACTGTGCAAGTATTCGTTTAAGGGTGAGTGATTGGTTCTAAGCTGAACAAGGATCCTTGCCTCAGAAGCTCGAAGTTGGTTGTAGATTGCTCGCATGTGTGTCCCTGGGAGTGCTTTGTCAAGGTTGCGGGGGTAAAACGTCCAAATCTCATTCTATCAAACTTATCTATGGTTTGGCCTTGGATTAACTAGATTTCAATTGCTGGAACATACTTCCAGTTGGTTGCGCGCTTTTCTTAGTTGCCATCTGGGCCCATTTGTGTGCCTTCTCATTTCCGATAACTCCCTCATGTGCTGGAGGGATTGCGAGGAAGATTATTGCGAGTAATAAGAATAGTGAGGCAGCCTGCTTACCCCCTCGCTGTGGGCGACGGTTGTGACAGCCGATGCCAATAAATCGTGTATGCAGCGGCGAGAGCAGCGTTAAAGTGCAAGAAACAGCATGAACACACGCTCGTTCAGACGGTCGCTCAGATCTCAACGCTGGAGCAGCAGATCTACTCGGTCGAAGCGGCCAATATCAACCGCGAGACGCTAGCGGCGATGGAGAAGGCCGGACAGGCAATGAAGCAAGTTGCAGGTTGAGATGGCGATGTAGGACAGTCCGTTCTAGCAGAGTTTCTAATAAGAGACAATACGAGTACACAGTACACATACGTACGCACGGGGAAGCGCAGAGACGTTGTCCCCCCCCCCCTTTTTTTTTGATTGCCTATGCATTGCTGGGAGGCTGTTTTTGCGAAGGGAATGGACTGGGTCCGCGACAGAGAGTTTGTTGGAGGGGGGACTCTGTCTTTACAATTTACTACGTAAAAATACCATGTTATTTGCTTCCTGCTCCCGACTCGCTTACACCGACGATTACCACAATCAGAAGGGTAGTGAACCCTTTTGATTCGAACCCTTTGGCGTGATGCAAAACTTCTCCTTGCACTACTCAGCAGCGAGAGGTTCGTTTGGAGCTTAAGTGCTTGTATGGGCACGCATTCGTTAAGCATCCAATTGGCAGAGTTGCTGGTGGAGAATATCTATCAAGTTCTTCGGATTTGTCCATGACCTATCGGAACAATAGTTAATCCGGGAAGACCAGAAGCCTCTCCCAGAGCTGCTCTATTGTTGTCACAAAACAAAACACAACACCACATCACTGCCCTATATACAATTCCCTTGCATACACAGTTTTTGCAACGTCCTACTATATTTTGAACGTTCATCCTTCCTCAACACGACCTGCGTTGATGGACGCGCCTGCGATTGCGCCTGTGCCCCAGTCCCCGCCACAATGCCTCGCATTCAATCCATCGACATTACGAAGCTCCCTCGAACCGACGGAGAAGGCAGAGTACGCCGGCCACGCAGACAACCATATCACCTTCCTCCATCCAGGATATAGCGATAGTTCCAAGCAGAGCGTGCTATTGCGCCTTCAAGCATTTGATCGAGAAGGCGGCGGTTTGCATTTCGGGACAGCCTTCACAGCATGTCAGATAGTGGCAGGAAACTGTCAGAATGGGTTTTTTACACGCCAGCGCGGTGGTCCAAAGATTGAGATACAATTTGATGAACTTTTAAGACACAAGATGTATTACTTTTACAATCCCGATATCGAGGATCCGATGTACCCTGTATGCAAGTCCTTTAGAGACTGGAGCTTCCCGCACGATAATCTTCCGCCCCAGTGGTCTGCTATGGACGCAGAAGGTACATCTATCGATAATGCACCACCCTCTGCGTCCGGCTTGGCCGCATTTGTCGGAGCTCGAGATAAAAGTTGTCGAGTATCGGTAAAGAGAGGCACCGACTATTTCGAAAGCGCCCACCTGGTTCCTCGCTCGGAGTCAGGTTGGTTTGCGGCAAATGGGATGGGAGAATATAATCTGAGCCAAACGCTACTAGGGGATTGGATGCTCGACGATGTCCGCAACGCAATCGCCCTGCGGAGTGATATCCATATCGCGTTTGACGACCGGAAGTTTGTTATTGTTCCAAAACAGTCGAAATGGGTTGTTCAATTCATGGGTCACACAAACAGTCTCGGGGACGATTTTCACAACACACATATTTATCTCAAAGGCATCTCCCCCGAATTCTTATACGCCCGCTTTGCATGGACAATCTTCCCTTTCCTATCATCATTTCTCAACGCACACATCACGAGGGCATTGCTGGTTCGTCTTCCCGACGGCCAAGAAATGGCGAAACAGGTTACCTTCGAGGAGATAAAAGCGCAATCTCTGTCGAGGAGTCGAAGCGTCAGTCCCAGAAAGCGCCAGATGACCATTTCCGATGGAGGACAGCACACAACGAAGCGATTTTGCCTTGATGATAGATTTGGGGGCACTAGTCGACAAGGCACCCCAGCTCACACCCTGTTGACATATACAGATACTTCTCTGCCGAGTGTGAGCTCACCCAAAAACCTCGAACAGTCGGATCTGGATACGCAGACGTGGATTCGAAGCCGCCGTCCAAGTGACCCCTCATTATACTGTTGCGACTATAACAAGGCCGAGAAAGAGTCTAGAGAGGGGATACCGGGAAAGCCGGAGTTTGGGGGTGCATATGTGTGTGACCAGTGTAGGGGTGTAGAATACCGCGAGGATAGGGATAAGGATGTGGAAGATGTTTTCTTGGATCCGGAATGATTTTTGTTCGTTTGATATCCGCATAAGCAACAAGCAGGCAACATGGCAAATTAGAGTGCGTCCGCCTGTCAGTTGCCTATGCCCGGAGTTAGATTTTAAAAATGGGTACACTGGCGCACGATTCGCTGATGGCTGGACTAAGCCAGGAGTGGACTGGAAAGGAATTTGGGGATGACAGCGAGGCTGAGGCTGACGGTGAGGGTGGGCGAGCTGAGCGGTTTGCGTAGGGCGGAATATCACGGCGGCATTTGCTAAACGAGGTGGAAGTAGTAAGGACGGGCAAGGCTAACAGATAAAGGTGTCAAAGAGCCTTGTGGTCAGCAATGACTAGCAGCTTTACCCCGTCCGAGAGTGACAAGGGAGGCTAAGTGTGCTTCAGGGACGGATACCAGAGCAGGGAGAGGTCAGCGATGACGATGGGCGAAGTTGGGGGCGCTTATTGCGCCGGCTGTTAGTTGGATGGATCTTTTGTTGCAACCCGAATATTTGGGTTGGATTCTCAAGAGTGTGAGGATTATCTTGGGCGCCTTATCTGTCCCCTCTTTTTCAGACTATATGAACCCTCTTCCGAGCCATCGTCTCCTATATTTTGTTCTTTGATGACTGAATGAAACCTGTCTGTGCAAGATACCGGATGCAGCTTTTTGGGGCCAAATGCGTCTCGAGATAGTCTTGGGTCTGAGGAAGCTGTGCTACTGGGAGGGTCTTGTGGATATGCTGAACAGTCCAAATTAGATGATGTTCGTCCATCTGAGCCATAGCATCCCAGATCCAATCATCCCAGATCAATCATCCCATGGCACTGACTTGCAATCGCTAGCTCCTCTCCTACAAGCTCCCAAAACTTAGAAATGTGCCGTCTATTACGTCCACGAAGAGAGTATACTCCCTGCGGGGAAATACTAGCACACAACCAACAATGGAGAGTTAATCCCAAGAAGCGCGAATCGTCCTAGCTATTAAGGCTCTTTCTAAAATCTAACAAACCTAGCCGTCGCTCTGCTGCAAAATTCTATAGAGTACCTTACTCAGCCATGGCAATCAGATCTAGCTCATCCTCCATGTCCTCTACTCCGTTGTCCTCAAGATCAAAATTAGCCCGATCCTTCGCAGAGAACTTCTCCTTGCAAATAGACGCTGATATTTGTCTCCAGTCGACGTATGAAACTGTGGCACCTTGGCCCGAGCACACGCTTTCCTTAGACATCTAGAGAGCGTCCCGTCTGGCCACACAGAACCCTGCAACTTCGCCCATACATACGGAGAGATCAAGGCCTTCGGCGTCTGCTGACGGAGAAACATCTGGCGTAGAGGTATCGCATATGCAATGTAATCTAACAGCAGATCCCCAATCGCCTTTGGCAAGGACCTGATGTTGTCCTTGTAAACCCCTGACTGCTGCTGGCCTTTGTGGTATTGAGTATAGATCATCACTAGCTTCTCCCACAGGAACAAATGGCGTTGTCGTGCTGTATTGCGCCATGTAACAGACAGCAGTTCCGGCTCTCGGATCGGTGGGCCAGGTGGGATGTGCTTGAGAACTAACAGTCGTTTGAGGAATTCTTGAGCAGTCGCCTCATAAATAGCCATGGCTTTGACGGACAACACCATGCTCCCATCATCAGCCTCTATTAAGAACATCGCTCGGAGCTCCGCACTTGCCTGGATACACTGGATTAAAGCACGATCAGCCTTCTCAACAAACTCGGCATTGCCTGGGTGGGACAGCCATGACCCCCCAAAGTCTTCCATATCGAGATCATCCTTTAACCTCCACGACTGCATCGGGATCAGATTCTTTGCCTTGAACATCAGCTCTTCATATAAAATGGAGTGTGCTTGCTGGTATTCCGACACAATCAGTTGCGACACGTGGGACATCTGCAGTTCCAACCCTCGATACTCCACAGTCTGTCCGTCCAAGGGCCACCGTGCCTGGTGCTTTGCAATGGCCGCTTTCCCAACCTAGAACAGATAGAGCCGCCACTGTAGGATATGCCCGAAAGGCGTCTCGGCCAGTTGTTGGAAGTACTCCTTACATATCGTTGAAAGGAACAAGCCTACGAAGGTAGTGTCAATATTCAAAAACAGATAGCAAAAGGAATTCCTTACTGTAGCATTGACTGGAGGTGGTGCAACTTCTGAAGCAAAGAAACATTCTACACCCACAGCCAAGTCCGATATTTTTGGAGTTATCTTTTCGCGGTTCACTGACGTTTTCAAACTTGACAATTTGAACTCCGCGCGAGAGAGGCCGTCAAAGTGTTCACTCAATGGGAAATTCATCATCATCTTCATGAAGGCGCCCTGCGAGCGTGGATCCTCAACTGCCCGGTCCTTTGAGTTCTCCCAATCCACTAGGAGTGTGCCATGACCACAAAAATGAGCATACAGTCCCGGCAGTAATACTGCCCAAGCTGCGCAGTTTTGTCGAAGTCGAGGTACCCATCCACAAAGAAGAAAACCTCAAAGAAGTTGTCCTTCGTAAATCTCTTCCGGAATACCTCAATAAGGGCTTTCAGTGATGTGCATCCGTTGAGTAATTCGTCAGCTGCTGCGTCTGCGGCGAGGGCAGTTCGAACATGGCCCTAAAACGTTAGCTATGTCTTTTTGCATTTATAGAACAGAGTAACTTACTGTAATCCGCCGGATTAACTTGCTTTTCCAGTCTTTTGTCTTGTTCATGATCATACCCCGCGCGATTCCAAATGCCTTCGAGTATGGCGGCGTGTCTGGGAGAAGTTCTGCGAGGATTCGATCTTTCGCCCCTGGTACATCATGGCGCATAAAGCTGAGCACCATCATGCGCGTTTCTATGTCAAGCCGTTCCGTGATCTCATCCCAGAAGGCCTCCGGGTCCTTTCCGTGCAGCCTCTTGTGATCTCCTTCAAGCTCATCTAGCACATCTGCATAACGGCGGGAAAAATTGGCACTGCGCATTGGCCCTTCATCTTCCTGGGAATTGTCATACTGGGTCAGGGTGCGCTTGCGTTTTCGTCTAGTATCAAGTGAGGCTTTCCGGGCAGCAGCCCGAGAATTCACTGCGTGGAGGTCAGGAGGGGAGTTGTTGCTCTGGTTGCTGCCACTCTGGCTGCGGCGGCCTTCATCGCGGCGTTGCTGGTCACGGAGCTGCAGCTGAAAACACTTAGTAAAAAATTAATAAGATGGTAAGAAACTCACATCCAAGGTTTCATCATCTATGAATATGGAGCTCTGGTCGTCAGAGTCAGAAAACGGAGACATGGTAGAAACAACGGAAATTTCAGGAGAATGGTCTAAAAAACATAATACTCTGGCACAGTAAAAGAATGAAATATAGAGATAGTAGACGAAAAGAAACCCATTTTACCTCATAATTTTGATGCCTGTTTGGATTGTAGAGTTCAAAGTGAGCATGGCAAAAGTGAAGCAAGAATATGGTCATGAGCCAAACGGGGCCAAAAAGGTAAGTCAAGCTTAGATGATGATGCTGAAGATATACTAACTGTTTGGAATAGAGTTCACAGGTCCATATACCCTAAGGGTAACTCCACAACGAAAAAGGAAGCACTCGAAGCGCATACGGCACACCTGGATATTGAAAATATTTCGTGTCATCATTGAGTGCTCTGTGAATCATTGGCTCAAGATTTCAAAGGGCCTCTTCGAAAACCTTCTCAGCAGTTTCTTCTGCCTCCTTCCTAGAGTAGCTCTGTGAATCATCACAGATATCACCAAGGTTCAGATGTTGACGACAGCGACGTCTCCTTAACTCTGCGCATAGAGTTGAACGGAGGCATAAAGTTGAAGCCCGCCATACCCTTGAGCAAAGCATCATCTTCAGCCTTTGTGTGCAGACCTTCTGACAATCTCTGTGTTGGAAACGAAGCCTAGAAATCTTCTCCAAGGTAAGACCCCCAGCCATGAAACTTGACCGACTATGACATGCAGAAAGCTGACATAAAGCCCTCTTTAGGTCTCTACAGCTCGGCAGAAGATAATACGCTCGACCTGCCTGTATTTGGAATCTTGACATATCTCTGTGTTCAGCCTTAAGAACTGCAGCCATCTCTGAAGGTAAGTGCAGCCTTAGAAATATCTCCTAGCCTTGGACACTATGAAGCTGACATACACGCCTCTACAGAGCTTCAACTTTGACAGAAGAACATACCCCTCCTTGGAATACGCAGTATTGGGAGGGCTCTCCTAGGATTATCCCAGGATCTACTAGGTGCGGTAGCCAATTTGAAGCTATCATGGTACAAGGTGTGTCCTTGCCATGCGACAATCCCACATTGCCAGCTTCGATAAATCAATTTAATTGAGCCTCAATTTATTGATTTATTTTGTGAACATCTGCCTTCCCTAGCTAGACCAAAATCTGGTGCATAGCTTAGGTTGTGTGGCCATTTAAAATCCACGAATAGTGACAAGTGTTACGATTACAGCTCACAGCTTGTTACAGTTGTTATGGTTGTTACAGTTATTATGGTTATTACGGTTGTTATGGGGATTACGGGTGTAGCCTTAGCCACCAAGGTTACAACCGCTAAGCAGACAACTGTATGTTATGAGGAATAGCCTCACCTTCCTTCCTTCTTCTTCTTCTTCTCTCTTTAGATTCAATCTAGATTACTTTTCCTGGACTGGCATCATGATCTCTATGACCATCGTAACAACAAGTGGACCTTGGGCGGGTGCTCAAATCCACAAGTTTGAGCTTTACGACCTCGCTGGCCATAGCCCAATCATCGGAAGGTACCTTGGGTCAAAATTCCTCGCCACTCATCTCAGCGAATGCAGCGTGGGAATCTCATGCGGCAGCTTTATCGGACCCCTATTCCCCAGGCTGCTCTCCAGCAGCAAGATAGCAGAAATGTTACTTTTAATCACATGCGCCAAATTCTTAGTACAGATGATACAAGTAATGAATTCTACAGTGATAGAGATATGGGTGGGTGGGAAGATCATTCTGACTCTAATGACTATGGCAACAGGGTTTCTAGAGAAGCCCCCTTATCCCCTACGAATATCCAGCAGGTTGCAGAACAGATCGCCCAGGGTTTATTAAACCTTGATAAGTGAATGGAACCAGCTGATGACAAATTTGACAATCCCAATTCAAACAGTGTCAAGCTCCCAGTGGAAGACTCCGTTCCGGACGAAGACTTCCTCCCAATTGGGGAGGCCTCTCCCGACGATGATCCTAGGTTGGAAATGCCACCTCCAGCCCGCCCTGAGACGGAAACGCTGCCCCGCAACTTCACTGAACTTTCCGAAGAGTTTATCCAGCCTCAAGATGACAGATCAGAACCGGTTAGACACAAGCGGGCACCAAACCCCATTACTGACTTTGAGATGTATATGGCAATGTGGTGTGAGAAGTACTCCATCCCAGGTGATGCTTACGCTGGACTTCTTGAGGGATACAAACTCGTTGAATCAATGGAGAATCTCATGAATCTTCCAAAGGACGTGAGAACTGTAATGGTGTGTGCACCAGATGTGAGAATCTAGCCACCCAAGGAAGGGATGATTTTACTAAGACAACACACTGTCTTAGGAAACAGAGCCAAAGGATCGTAGCTTAGACTATTTGTCATACTGACATTCGTTGCACTCAGTTTGCTATCAAACTCAAGAGCAAACTTAGAAATCTCCTCCTCAAACCTACAAGTCACCATACATATCTTGGCTTATCACACCAACAACAGAAGCAATACTACTCAACGATTGCTGCAAACTCTTCTACTACATCTGTTTATGCTACATACATCACAGCATATCATTTGGACACTCATTGAACAAGTTATTAAGAAAATCTCCTCCTTAAGGGGGTGGGCCAATACTACCACATGGCATATCTCTACCAACTAGAGGCCTAGGAACATGAACGATGGCTCTAGAAGCTTCTACAACCCTCTATGATTCATTACACGTCATCGCTCCTTAGTTACCCACAAGATTGGTTAAGTTATGACATAATTTGTCTATAGGTACTCTGACCTTGGACCTCCTTTTCACTTCCTATAGGCTAGGAACCCAAGAGATGGTTCTATGGGATTCTCTTACGTTCACTACATGATTAGCAAGCTAGTTGTGGGTCGCACTTGATTTCTAATACATTTACCAAGCCTGGTTAGTCATGGAAAGTCATGGAAAATGAGAGAACTACACTCCTTTGGCATAAATAGGATTGCCCTTTCCTTAAGAAAGGGCAAGCAGGCAATACAGTAAATCGACTATCACATACTTCCACGTCTTTTACAAGCTTCCAAGCATTCATCTTGTTACTCCTTGTTTCTGAAAAGTCAGTGAGGTGTTAACCTCACTTACCCCTGAGTTCCCAGACTCAACATTTGTTGCAACTTGTCTGAACCACTTCACTACATCACACACCTGATTGCTGCGTTATAAAATAGTCTAAGCTACAACCCTTTGGCTCTGTTTCCTAAGACAGTGTGTTGTCTTAGTAAAATCATCCCTTCCTTGGGTGGCTAGATTCTCACATCTGGTGCACCCACCATTACACTATTCCACAATGCAGCAATCAGGTGTATGATGTAGTCGAGTGGTTTAGACAAGTTGTAACAAATGTTGAGTCTGAGAACTCAGGGATAAGTCAGAGGTTAGCACCTCACTGACTTTTCAGAAACAAGGAGTAACAAGATCAATGCTTGAAAGCTTGGAAAAGACGTGGAAGTATGTGATAGTCGATTTACTGTACTGTCTGCTTGCCCTTTCTTAAGGAAAGGGCAATCCTATTTATGCTAAAGGAGTGTAGTTCTCTCATTTTCCAAGACTTTCCATGACTAACCAGGCTTGGTAACTGTAGTCGACATAAGAGAATCCCATAGAACCATCTCCTAGGTTCCTAGCCTATAGGAAGTGAAAGGAGGTCCAAGGTCAGAGTACCCCTATAGACAAATTATGTCATAACTTAACCAATCTTGTGGTAACTAAGTAGCGATGACGTGTAATGAATCATAGACGGTTGTAGAAGCTTTTGGAGCTATCGTTCATGTTCCTAGGCCTCTAGTTGATAGAGATATGTCATGTGTAGTATTAGCCCAGTAACTAAGGAGTGATGCCAAGAACCAATATACTACTGGCAACACTGGTGCTGATACGGGATTACTACTGGGATTGCGGATAAATGGATATTAGCGTGGAAGATGAGACCATAGTTGAGGCCCCTCTCTCACAAGTCTGCCAACACAGCGCCAAACCATCTTATAAAGAAAATGAGGATCATGAAGATGATGAGGATGAGGATGAGAATGACGAGGATGAGAACGACCAGTGTTGCCAGTAGTATATCGGTTCTTGGCAGTATATTGCAATATATATTGCAATATGAGTCTTGGCAATATAAACAATATGCTTGGCAATATGATATGGCCTTCCTTCATTCCTTGGCAATATGATATGCCCCACATTATATTGCCAATATAAACAATATAAACAATATCGCTTATTATAATACACGTGATGATAATGATGTTAAATATAGCTATGAAGCTAGTAGATAAGTGCCGTTGAAAACTCTGCACGTGTAGTACTATTACTATTATATAGTAGTACTATGGCTTCAACAAATGCAGATTCTAGTAATTTATCTTCTCTTAATACTAGCAGCTTCCAAGACAATGCCGATGTGTTCCAGTTACAGTCCTCACAACTAGATCTTGATAGTACTATAGTACCTTCAATTTCATCAACAACCCAACGAGTACGAACCTCATGGGTTTGGCAACACAATAAGAGCCCTTCATTAATAGAGGATGCTAACAAGTGCATTTGGCAATGCTTATATTGTACTAAACAATACAAAGGGTCGGGTGGTACAGCTGCTCCAGCAAAGCACTTGACAGATTTACACCAAGCGACAGATACTTCAAAGGAGTTACGAGTTAAGAACATGCAGATGAGTATTTCAAGCGCCTTCTCAAGTGGAATAAGTAACCCATATAAACGGCGACGAGATACCGACTTTGATGCTCCAACGTTTGAGCAGCTACTTGTCCGACTTATTGCTAGATGCTCATTATCATTCACAATTGTCCAACGCCCTGAATTCTGAGACTTAATACATTTCTTAAATGTTAATAGTGAAGAGTCTTTACCTCGAAGCCATAGTACTATACGAGAATGGGTAGTTCGAAGATACAAGCAAGAGAGGGTCAAGATTCAGCAAGCTTTGCAGTCATCTCAGTCGAAGATCCATCTTACCGTTGACTTATGGACATCACCAAACACAAAGGCATTAATGGGTCTAATTGCACACTACATTGGGGAGAATGAAGGGCTTCGACAGTCGGTACTATCGCTACGAGAGCTAGAAGGACAGCATACAGGTGACAATCAAGCCCAATTAATATATACTGTACTTGAAGAGTATGGTATATTATCAAAAGTTGGGTATTTCATGATGGACAATGCATCAAATAATGATACTATGATGATAAGCCTTTCAAATCGTTAGTCCTATTACAAAAAATGATAGTACTATAAAATTCTAACTTCTACTATATAGTACTATCACTCCAAGGTGTTAAATATGATGCTCACTTCGTTGCAATGGCCATATCATCAACCTAGCAGCACAAGCATTCTTATTTCCATACGGGGATGCTCTTTCTGTGGATAACAACTCTCAAGAAGCATCACAAGTACAAGTTAAAACATGGAGGAATGCAGGCCCCCTAGGGAAGCTACATAATATTGAAGTGTATATTCAACGTTCTCCCCAACGCCAGGCAACGTTTGAGAAGTATAGTAAAAGGCTTGCTCGGGATAACAAGACTCGATGGAACTCATGGTACTTGATGCTTCATAATGCTCTTGATGACAATATGAAGAAAGCTATCAATGGATACTGTCACAAGGAGTACTACGACCTAAGCCAAGACGAATTGACAGAGAGTGATTGGATAATACTATCACACATCCATGACTGCCTCCAGTTCTTTCATGAAGCGACGTTAGCTACAGAAGGCTGAGAAGCTACACTAGAACAGGTATTATTATCTATGGAATTCCTTCTCGAGCAATTAGAGAAAGGCAAACAACAATTTCAAGACGATATAATACTTAGCCCATGTTTCAACTCAGCTTGGAAGGTTATAGACAAGTATTATGCACTAACTGAGCGGTATGTAATAGTACTATCAATAGTCTATAACGTGCATGTATAACGAAAGTGCCAAACAAGCGAAAGTGCCAAAATATCGCGACTACCCCATAAGAATTGCGATAAATCCACCACAACAATATAAATTAATTAAAACTACTCGGAGTCCTCTTCCTCAGACCTGTCTATTACAATCTGACAAGTGCGCGCATTGTGTCCAGTCTCACCACACTTGCCACAGCGACGTGCATGGGTTTCTTCCCTTGGCTTCCGACCACTACTTGCCCTTATTTCTTGCTCTACTTGCTGCACAACGTCCCTCTCGTCCTGTAGCTCCTGTGCTACCTGTTGACTAAGTGATCCTCCTTGCTGTAGTCGTGTTTTTTTAGCTCTCCGGCGCTTGCTTAGCACTTCATTTGCCTGTCGCAGGTTTTGGTTCTCTGCTTTTAACAATGCTAATTGATGCATATTTGCGATGCACCCTTTGTAAACTGGTCAACAGCTGCATAGATTGAGGTTGGAGAGCTATTTTGATGATGCGCAATTCGGTTTTTAATGAAAGTAGACTGTGATACAGCTTCAGTTGGGTTATTTGGTGTCTGAGAAACCCATGGTTGAGCGGTGTTTGGGTGAGAGGTTGGAGGTGTTGGTGTCTTAAACCTAAGGTCAAGTGTAGATATTACACTCTCAGGGCTAAATGGAAGAAGCCCAGCACCTCGGAACCCTCCCTGAATATTGCTTTCTGTCATTGCAATGTTAAATGCAGCGTGGAAGGTAGGAAAGAAGTCATCCTTAGTAATGTGAATAATATGAGCCCGCATCATATCTTCAATTTGCTGACCGTAAGCTCTCTTTAATGGGCCAAAACAGCCAACATCAAGTGGTTGGAGTATATGGGAAGAGTGAGCAGGCATACAAAGTGTAATAATGTTGTGTTCTTTGCAGTACTCCTCAAACTTGTCTGAGTGGTGGCTCTCATGACCATCAAGGACTAACAAGTGATAACCACCAACACTCTGGGGCTTTGTGTGCTTCTCAAAATGCTGAATCCAATCCATACCTCTCTCGTTTGTAGTCCAGCCATTTGCAGTAACAGCGATTACCCAATCTGCTGGAAATCCGCTATTCTCATACCAAGATGCAAGGTGGTTTTTACCTGCCACAATGACAAATGGCGGCACTGCCCAACCTTGAGAACTAACGCCTTGGATTACTGTAACCCATTCCCGATTGCCAGGCTGCACCTTTTTTGCCTTTGCCCGCCCATCTGAGCTCGCTACTACCGTTGCGCTTGAGATGACGCCCATCATAAACCCAGTCTCATCAAAGTTGTAGATATCTGCATTGTTGATGCCATACTTTAGAATTGTGTTCCATACAAGCT